GCAATTGGATTCACGAATCGATCTATGCTAGACCACCATCAAAAGCCTGGAATCACTAGACGGGCATTTCGTTCCTGTATGGGACTCCTCGGCAGTACATATCCACGGTCCCACACGTAGGACTCGAATCCAGAACCTACAGTCTCACGCGCGTATGCTTAACCTCCAGACCTGGATTTGAGCCATTCGTGTGAGGTCGTGGATGTACACTGCTGAGGAGTCCCACACTAGGATGAAACGGTCGTCTAATGCTTCCAGGTTTTCAATGGTGGTCTAGCTTGTATTGACTAGTGAATTCGTAAAAACAAGTAACTTCATTTCGACTAGGCTACACCGCATTGCTTATAGTAACAGTTTACATCTAAAAACCAACAAAAGATCACTATTCACTACGATTATCATCAGCGTCAATCTTTTACCATACTTCAGTTTAACAATTACAATATGAAATATGCTTTATAATAACAGTGTTCTTAAATAGTTTCCACTGAAGAAGTTTTGAATAACTATTGTCACTTAACAAACGTTTTTGTTATATCATTTAAATAAATCTAATGATTTGTTAGCATATCTTCTGACCGACTGTAATCTGTTTCACGTTTTTGTTATATGCCCCCCAATGCCCTAGTACGGCCCAGAGTGGGGATAGCCAGCTTTCCTTCTCGAAATGCTCTCACATGGCCTGGTGCATACAACCACTGCCAAGGATAGCCTAATCACTGCATTCTCGCGCCATTACTGTTGTTCACGAAATTGAGAGGATACAAAGCGACTGTCCGATGCTTTAACCGGGTTGGTGGATACGGAGAGTCCACCTAGAGCAGTTGGAAAACCCTCATTTTAAATCAATAGTGCACATAGGCTCCAGTATCCTGAGGGCGTACAAACCTATTGTTGGTTACCGGCTACCATGGGACTACATCTCCTTACGTTGCTCCAGTGTCTTGTGGATCAGATCTTCAGGTTGAATGCTCCGGATGTGGCCCCTTAAGAAAACCACCTACTTCGGTTTGGGCACCCAGGCAGTATCCCATCCCTTGCACAAATCGAATGACTTATTTTGCGCATATCTATTTGGTGCCTCCTTGTGCTAATATTTATGTGTTTAAATAAATAAAATAAATCTTTGTTATATAACTCAGTATTCTCTATTTGGATGGATGATTAACGGAAAAAGGTACTGTATAAATTGAAAGTTTCATTTATTCAAAACTGATGATTTCATTCAATATGTTGATTACTTGAAATAAACTATCATGTACCCTTGCTTTTACTATACACCGTTGAAAAGTCTCAACATATGGTAATATGGATCTATGAAAATTGGAAAAAAGTCAAGTCAGATGTAAAATGTTGATTGTCTATCGATTATATTAAATGATGGATGGCACCATAACTGAAAAATATTGACCCATTGAATTCCAATTCATTCACTAGATACAGTTACATTTCCGCATCTTAGTTGTCTTTAGTTTTCTCCATTAACACTAGACCCTAGTAACAGATCTCTTCAAATTAGTTACAAAATACATATTGAATGAAATCATTGACAATTTTCTTCAAAACCTCCTTAAATCATCATGAATACCAAGAACAAGATAGGTATAAAACAACCCATTCAAATCGATTAATGGGAAAAAAATCCCCAATTTTATGAGACAAGAAACAATAGACTTCACTATTCTTTTTAGTTGACTTATATTTGAATAAGACAAACAAACATGAATTATTAATTATCATTCTATAATCTAGGGTTAAAATGATCTATAAACATTAACATTATTTCGACAGAATGTAAACAAGAATATTTATGTAATCAAATGAATTCGATTTCTAAACTATTCATTCATTGTAAACACATTGAATTTATAAAGATTACTGTTTTTAGAAACAATGATTTATTATATATATTAAAGTTAATAAAGTTGAATTGAAAGATTGATAGGGAATAGAAAATCAAAGAAGAATTTCATGGATGTGCACTACTGAAGAGTCTCATACTAAGACGAAACAGTCGCTCAGTACTTCGAGGTCTTCAATGGTGGTTTAACATTGAATGATTTATGATCTCAATTAAAATAAGTTACACAAACTAACAGACACTAACATTTTCTTTAAATATGTCACAGTAAGTTATAAAAAATCTAGTCATATATAGTAGGATAGAAGAGATCGTTACCAATGATACGTATGGTGAAAAATCAAGTGATTACATAACTAAGCAAAATACTAAAACGAAATGAGCTGGTTGAACTCACAAAGCAATTTAAGTTAGATAACCTTTGGAAAATTAAAATCACTGGCTGGCCGTTTCATCCTAGTACGGGATTCCTCAGTAGTGTGCCTTCACTACCACCAGGCATCAGACCTAGTATCCTAGCTTATTGGCCTAGAGGTCAAGCGTTCGTACGCGAGATGGACCGTTCTGGGTTCGGTCTTTGGTGGTTCGTTCATAAGTAAGCACCTCTGAAGAGTCCAATAACAGGATGAAACAACTGTCCAATCCCTCTGGGCTTTCAAAAGTTGTCTAAATTAGATCGGTTTGTAATTTTAAAGAAGGCCAACAATCTCCACATTCCTATACTAAAAATCAACTGAGTAGGTGAAAATCATAAGGTGAATATAAATCCTAGGTCATGTTAGAAATAAAATCTGGTTTATGACAGTTATTTAAAAAAGCTTTTGGAAATTACCCACATCTTCCCTTTCTTAAACAAAAATCAAATTGCATGCCTGTTGTAAATGGATATGATACCGAAACTTACACTCGATCTGGTCATTGTATTCTCATTAACTGACATATTCAAAATACAAGCATAATACTTATTCCCTGAATTTTGCGTAGATTTTTCCATTTTTAAGAACATTACGATTAGTTTTCTTACTAAATCAATGATTACAACTTTCAGTTTAATAAACATCATTCATTAATATATCTATTGTGACTCAGAGATTAATAGTAGCTAGCAGGAAAATTTAAGATGAGCGTTTCATCCTCTTCAAAACTCATCACCCGGAACCCCCTACATTTCAGAGTTAATGTTGACTCTGGGATTCGAACTTTTAACCATTGGCTTCACATACTACCTCATTATCCACTTAATTACTGAGTCCAGATGATCACTGAGTTGCACAGTGAAGTAAATTTAAATTCGTATATATTGATCGTTTGGATTTTCCTATTGATGGGATTAATCAGTCTCTGGAATGCTGGTACATCAAGCTGACGAGTCCTAAGTAGAACGAAACACATGTCCTGGATTCCAGTGCTAGCCACCACCCATCTCTGTCTATAATGCTTGTGAATTAATGGCAATATTGAGACAGTCCGCAGAGGATAGACATATGCCAGATAAGGCTGATTACTTGCGGTCATAAACTTCATTGGAAAGATTTAAACAACCAATACAAATGAATTAATTTTATCTTTGTAGTTATGATTATAAACTGTTTTATGGTTTCAACAGTCTATTGATTGATTGTCTCAGTGTTATCAGTTTCTGACGGAAGGTTTAAATTTCAATAAAATGCTATTTTAAATTAATATATAATTTATTTTACACAAACAATTATCGTATAAAAAACTCAACAATCTCTACAATCCTATACTGATGATTATCATGTGCTCACTAGGGACTAGCTTCAAGATGGATTTCCTAGAGTTCTAGTGGGAAGTCTTGACTAGTAGAGTTTAACCGTGTCTGTTGTGAGGCAGTTACTGACTGAAGACAATATAGTGGACGGTCGCTCAATATCATGGATTGGTTAAAGTTAGACACTAACACTATTGGATGACGGCTAAATGGTCTAGAAGTTAAACCAATAGGTCCTAGATTTGAGTTACTTTGGTGCGGAATCGTGGAATCGTGGACTTTTAAGGAGTCCCATACTAGAATGAAACGGACATTCAGTTCTTCCAAGTTTTCGATGGTGGTCTAACATTATTAGATTCAAGATCTTATTTTTTCCTCAAAACAGTAAGCTGTTATTAATACCCTTTCTTTAACTAAAACAGTCAACCTGAGTTATTATTAATAATATTAACGTTCATATCAGAAGGATTTTGTGGATATTATAGCAAATTCAATGGTTGAGATCATGAGTTGATTGAAGCTAAACCACCATGGAAAACCTGGAATCACTGGACGGCCGTTTTGTCCTATCACTGAAATCCTCTGCAGTGCTCATTCACGATCCCGCCTCGCCAGATTCGAACCCAGGACCTATCAGTTTCGCGCGCGAGCGCTTAACCACTAGACCACTGAGCCGGCCGTCATCCAACGGTGTTGATGTCTAACTTCAACCAATCCACGAAAGTGAGCGGCACTGAGAGACATTGAGCGAGACTATTAGGTTCTGGGTTTGAATCTCGTGAGACGGGGTCGTGAATGCGCGCTGCTGAGGAGTCTCACAGTAGGATGAAACAGCCGTCCAGTGCTTCCAGATTTTCCATGGTGGTAGTCTAGCTTCAATTGACTCATGATCTCAACTATTGATAATAGAAGATGACCAACAAAAATTAAGTAAATTGATTTTATTCATTATACACCTTCATATTCTTCTACTCAAATTAAAATGACCAATCAAAAATTAGAATAAATCGCTTATAGATTTTATTTAATTAACCAATCAAAAATATTCGCGAATCTTACATGACAAACATTATTCATTATTCTCATTGTAAGGTGGTAGGTAAAAAAAAAGCGAAAAAGAGAGAAGAAGAGAAGTAGTAGGTGAGATATGTGTTATTCCAAATGAAAAATGAATAGAGACTAAACGCATAGAATTGAATAGATAGATTTAGATTGAACCAATTAAACTGATTGTTGTTATTGTTGTTGCTGTTTTACTGTTTTGTCTACTTTCATTTGGAGAAAATGTTTTGTGGTTAAATGAATAATGTAAATACTCTACTCTACTCTACTCTACTCTACTCAAGACATACATACAATTTACTACTAATGAGACATATATATTGATAGTTTGGTTATGTTTGACGTAAGTAGATAAGCGTAGGTGTATAAGGTATATGTGTCGTACATAACCATGTTTTCAAATGAGTTATGAAGTAAAATATCACTGTAGAATTCTTCCTTTTTTTCTCTCTCTAGTTCTATCAAAGCCAACTCATTGTGACATTGTTATTCTCCTTAGTAAGTGTTTTCAGTGTAACAGTATAGTGTCAAGTTTTGGATTTTATTCCTTATCACTAGAATCCATTACAGTTATAAACGAAGATTAAAAGACGTTTGTTTCATTGCATGTAAATGGATTGTTTATTTTTTTCGTATACGCTAAACAAAATGTTTCTTTTAAACAGTTGCTAAGGTAAACTTAAGAATTTTCAAATTATATTTTCACCGCAATTTTCTTTTTGGCTAAAACAAGTAAATGAATGGTGAACAGTGTATATTGACAACTGATCTTTCAAATGATAATAATAATCATAATCATAATGATGATGATGATATGAAAGGATCTAATCCAATTAATTGTAGTCTTACAAAAAGAATCAATTCAACAACTGATATTGATATAAATCCAGTAAATTATTCAACTTATCAATCAGATCCATTAAATTTTCTTTATTTCAATGATAATATAACATGGTATCCAAATATATCATCATCAACTTATTGTACACAATCATCAACATTATCCACATTAACATTAACATCATGTTCATCATTAACAATTCCATCTTCATGTATTATGAATACAACAGTATCGAATGGTATAATACATTTTGATAAACAAGCATATCATTCTTCTTCATCTTCACCAATTTGGTATCATAATAATACTAATAATTTAACAACAAATGAATTATGGTCAAATATTGGAGAATATAGTGATATAGTTGATAAGATAAATTTACAATCTGATGAATCTTCACATCAACATCATCATCATCAACAACAACAACAACAACATCCACAAGAACAGCAACAACAACATCAGTTGGATACTAATCAATCTCAACATAAATCGATTGATAAAAAAATTGATTTTATTCAATCATATGATAATCCTCTTAGTTTAATTGAAACATTATCACCATTAACTTTATCTACAATAACATCGAAAGTAACATTGAATACAAATGAGAAAAATGATCCAAATCAAATTCAACGTTATTTTACAGAAACTTTAAATAATCCAATTATATCGATTGATGAAACATTAAATCAATCTATGAATACGATTACTACAAGTAATATTAGTAGTAGTATTAGTAGTATCAGTAGTAGTAATAGTAAATTATGTCAAGATCATGAGTATTCAGTATGTTTATCAGAGAATTTAACATTTTTACCAACATATTCAACGAAATTATTTAATGATTCACAATTATGTACAGAATATTTCAATTCAGAAATTCATCCTCCTCCTCCTCATCATCATCATCATCAACATGATCATCCTCATCATCATTTCCCTTATAATCAACATCATTATACACAATTTCAACAACAATATCGTACATCATCAACTACAGATTATATACAATTAAATCCTAGTGAACAATCACATCAGTTACAAAATAATCAAAATGAAATAAATTTAAAAAAGCAGATTATGTCATCATTATCAATTACATCATCACCATCATCTTCATCTTCAGCATCATCATCGTCATCAGCATCAACATCATCGAGAGGATCTAATGTTCCATTACCAGTACCAGCTATGATATATCAACATCAACAACAATTACAACAATTAAATAATCATTCAAATTTTTTACAAAATTCATCAAATTTATCTAAACAATCATGTCATCCAAAACCACCATATTCATATATTAGTTTAATTACTATGGCAATACAAAATTCAACAACACATATGTGTACATTATCAGAAATTTATCAATTTATTATTGATTTATTTCCATATTATCGACAAAATCAACAAAGATGGCAAAATTCAATAAGACATTCATTATCATTTAATGATTGTTTTGTTAAAGTATCACGTAGTCCAGATAAACCAGGTAAAGGTTCATATTGGACATTACATCCAGATTCTGGGAATATGTTTGAAAATGGTTGTTATTTAAGAAGACAAAAACGTTTTAAAGATCCAAAACGTGAAATAAGTCATCGTACTCAACGAAATAATAATAATAATAATAGTGCTAGTAATACTATTAATGTTATCACATCTTCGACAATATCAACTGACAATAGAAATACAATAGATGTTAATTCCACTAGTGAAAATACTATTTTACATTCAACCAATGATCTTTTAATATTACCAACTGGTATAAAACGTACATATTCAAAAACAGATTGTAATCCGTTATTGAATGTCGGACTCAATGATCATATATTGTATAATAGGATGAAACCATTTCCTATTGGTATTACACCAGATGCTAGTGAAGTGTATGATGAAGTAAATGACGTAGATGATAATGACGATGGCGGAGATGGAGATGACGATGATGATGACAGTGATGGTGATGATAATGATGATGTTGGTGCTAACTTAGAGGATGAAGAAATCAATGAAGAAGAATATGATGATGGTGGCTATGGTGATAACGAAGGAGCCCAGCAACAACGACAACAACAACAACAACAGCAAAATGATCTCAGTAGAACAACTAACAGCAAAGATAACAATTTTATTGGATCTGATTTAATGAGTAATAAACAAATGGATCATTCAATGATCGAACAACAACACCAATATTACAAGTCTCAACAACAACATCATCACAATCAGCAATCGACCTCACCAAAATCTAGACAGCATGTAAAACATAATGAAACTAAGATTACAACTGATATAATTGAAGATATTCATGAGAAATCAACAAATAGATTTAAATCATCACAATTATTTCTTTTAAGTCCTTATGATAGTCGAGATTCAACAAGATACATTACAGATATCATTTATCCAGAAAGTAATTATGAGCAGGTGAATCATTTTGTTAATTATAAACTTCATCAACCATTTCATAATCATCATCATCTTCATTCTATTCAACAATTTGATAATAATTCAAATAAAATTAATTTTAATAAACAACAATTATTTACTTGTACAACGACTACTACTACTACTACTACTAATAGTAGTACTACTTGTACTAGTCAAATCAGTAGTATACATACAAATATGTTAGATTTATATAATCGTGTTACGAATTCACCATCAGTATACACTAGAAACAATTCATTAGTTGAATATTCAACAAATGAATTACGTAATAGTCAATTGGATCAACAATTTCCATTGAATTCATTTCATTTATCACAACCTTTGCCAGTTACATTACATCATAATTCACAAGTAAACTTACCAACTGAATTATATTATGATGATAATATTGATTTTAGTATACGTCGGTATAATACAATGAATAATCCAATTAAATGTACAAATATTACAAATATATTAAATAATAATTCGATTACTACTGTCTCTATGAATACTACTACAACTACCACTACTACTACTACTACTGCTAATGCTACTAATAGTAGTACTAAACCTACCAATAATGATAATTATCATGAAGTCATTATGAATAATTTAACTTTGATGCCAACAGTAGGAAAATATTATACTATGAATCATAATTGTCAACAAGGTGAAAAACAGTTTGAATTAGAACATGAATATCATACACAACAACAATATCATTACAATGAATATGCGAATATTCAACAATCCATGTTAATAAAATCAAATGCTACAATAACACCATCTATGACAACGTTGACGACAACGACAACGGCAGCAACATTACCAACATCAACAATAATATCACCATATTTAAGTCATAACTATGAACATATATCATTGACTGATGAAAGTCCATATATTTCATGTAGTGAAGTATCGTTTACTAACTCATTGAATGTACATAATTTATCTAACATAATTAATGTTTCACATGTAGTAACACCATCGGTTTCATTATCACCAATGTCATCTTCGTATATGCCATCTTCTTTAACCTACTCTATGTCATCATCATCATCATTGTTAAATATTCCAACTGGAATTATTTCATCTAATTCTTTCCCTTCCACAACACCTTCATCATTATTGTCAACAACAATGATATTCACAAATCCTTCATATGTGACAACATCTGAATCATTTCGAAATTTTCCTTCAGGAATATTAGAATCAAATACATGGAATACAAACTATTTACATTTAACAGAACATAAAGATAATTTATTAAGATTTAGTAAAGATAACAAAGAAATTGAACATCATCATGATCATTTAACTATTCAATGTCCCAATAATAGTAAACTAACAAATGAACACTCTAAAGAATGTATCAATAGAAAAATTGACACTGAAATTAATATCAATAACAAAATTATTGATGATAATGGTGACGTTGGTGGTGATAATGATGATGATGATGATGATGACGACGATGACAATGAAGACGATGATGAGGATGATGAAGATGTTGGTGATGATGATGATAATGTTAATGATGAAGAAGTAATAAATCGTTCTGACAATCCAAATAAACCATTTTCTATAGATCATTTAATGCATTTTCAAAATCCTGATTTAGATATAACAAATACAACAAATACATTATTACAATATGCTACAAAAACAGATATATCTGTATTTGATAAATTAAGATCTTCAACAATATCTATCAATGGTAGGTGAGACATTTCAACATCCTTAAAGAGTTATAGTGAGGGAGATGAGCAAAATATTCATGGTAAGTTGAAATTACCATTATTAACATGTTTATACACAAATAACTTCATACTACTTACATGTTATCAACTTTGGAATTGTACGATTAATATAACTGACTAAGTGACTGAATGAATAACTAAATGCATGAAAACACTGAATAGTTGATTTATTCCATTTTAAGTTCATATTTGATTGAATAATTTCATAGTATTTGAGCACCGAATTGATGTGAAATATCTCGTTTGCTGAGATTTTACAAATACATTTTCCCCTTTAAAGAAATCTTATAGTTATTTGATTGTTTAATACAATAACATAAGAATAGATCTATACTCTCATTTAATGGGTGAATTCATGAAATTAGGCTACTATGGAAAACCTGAAAGAACTGAACAGCCGTTTGGTTCTAGTGTGAGACTCCTCAGCTGTGTACACCCACGACCCCGCCTTCAGAGATTCGAACCCGAGACCTATCAGTCTAACGCGCGAGCACTTAACCATTAGACCACTGAGCTGGCATCCGTCTAACTTCAATCAATCGAGACCGATAGGTCCTGGGTTCGAATCTCGTGAGGCGGGAGAGTGGATGCGCATTTCTGAGAAGTCTCACACTGGAAGGAAACAGCTGTTCAGTTTTTTCAGGTTATCCACGATGGTCTAGCTTCAATTGACTCATGAATTCAACCATGGAATTTCTATAATATCCACAAAATCCTTTCTCAGATTTGTACTCTATTAATGATCGAAACCGTAAATTGTTTAATAAGTAAATGTTATAGAAATCGTTCTGTTTATGTTCACTATCAGAAATATATAACATCACAATTAAGTGTTTATCATGTTTGACAAGTGTACAATGAAGCTAATTCATTGATAGTGACGATTGTAAAGTCTATTTGAAATTCAATGATCTACATTTTCAATTCTGTTATAGTTTAGAAAAAAGACAGAATAATCCTTAACGAATGTAATTGATGAGTTATTGGCTAACCTCTTCTTAACTCTTTGAGAAATTCGTCTTTAGTATTTTTTTCTGTATAAAGATCATTTATATCACGAACTAAAGAAATTGAGGAATAGTAAACATTTTTACATCCTGAATTAGAACTTTTCGAGAGAATCCTCTCAAACTTTCAATAATATCAACAGTTTTGTTGTTCCAACAGTTGAGATCATGAGTCAATTGAAGCTAGACCACCATGGAAAACATAAAAGCACTGAACGGCCGTTTCGTCCTATTGTGGGACTCCTCAACAGTACGCAAAGAGTTAACTTGTTAAAAGAAATTTTTCTTGATAGAAGAAACGATTACATTTCAGAAATTTTCTAGTACCATGGAATATCTCAGATTCTGGGAAATTTCAAATTTCATTAAAACAAACTGTCATTTGAACTTATTATTCACGTTCGTTTTCATATAAATGAACATTTTGTTGCATCTCCCCCCTTTACACTCTTTAAACCTGTCACTTAACCTTAAGCGTGATCAGTGAAGTTAATCCGTGTCAGGTAGAGATAAGTATCTACCTCAAAAAATGGAGGATAGTCGCGCGATTTCGTGGATTTTTTAAAGTTAAACATTAACACCGTTAGATACTGGCTCACTGGTCTGGGGGTTAAGCATTCACGCCTGTAATCGAAGGTCCTAGATTCGATTTCTTTTGGCACGGAATCGTGGACACTCATCGTTGAAGAGTATCGTATTGGGACGAAACGGCCGTCCAATGCTTGCAGGTTTTCCATGGTGGTCTAGATTTAATCGACTCATCAATTCAACTATTAAAATACAGGATAGTTTTTTAAAAATATTCCTACCAAAAATGTTTACTAAATAGTATGAATGAAAATAAAGTATAATCCATTACATAATAGTTATCAGTTAAGCAAGTATGTATGTGTGAAAAAATGGTAACATTCATGCATTTTCGCTGGACAGAAAAATCTATCTAAATACTGGAATCTTCTTGTTTGTCAAAAACTGTAAGTCATTCAGTCATTCTTATGAAACTAAGGGACATGTCAAACGTTCTTACACAATTCACATTTTGATGTTACTTCACTTGTTCAAATCATGAGTCAATTGAAGCTAAACCACAATGGAAAACCTGGAAGCACTGGACGGCTGTTTCGTCCTATCATTGGACTCCTCAGCAGTACGCATCCACGATCCCGCCTCATGAGATTCAAACCCAGAACCAATCAGTCTCACACGCGAGCGTCTAACCATTGGACTACTGAGCCGTCATCCAGCGGTGTTGATGTCTAACTTCAACCAATCCATGAAATTGCGCCACCGTCACCATTGTTTTCAGTGAGTTGATATCTCACAACAGACCTGGTTGAACTCCACTAGTCACTTATTTATTTGTTGGTAATTAAATCATTCACCTTCCGTTATCACAATTTTTGTTAAGAAACTACATAGAAATTATTTTATTCTGTATATAAAACACATATACCAGACTAACATTAATCAAGGAGGAGAACTGGATAGGTATTTCATTATACTATTGAATTACTTAGAGATTTGGATTCATTATAATATACATTGGGATAGTAAAAATAGATTAGACATATGATATCTGATCGTTGTCTTTCAATGCTACTTTTAACCGATTTAAATTGGTGGAGAAAGGTCTATTCAAAAAGAATTTAATCACTGTGCCGCTATGATCAACTGAGAAATTAAGGAAATATTTCAAGAAAGAATTTTACTTATATACAGTAGAAATCTATGAATGAAGATTTTAAACATTTGAAAACTGATGACTATTTATGTTGACATAATTCCTATACAGCAGATGAATGATTAAACTGTTAATGTTAATGGTTAAAGGAACCTTGAATCTAGATTTTGTGCTATTTGCCACTTGTCAATAAGCCGTATATGTAAACATGTGAAGATTGATGCTCTCTGAGATATTCCATCCAGTTTCACTCAACTTGCCAATCAGAAATGCTATGATTGGGCTAACTCGATCACGAATGACCTTCTATAGAACTAAGATGTATTTACAAGTGATTGATCGCTGAGTAGTAACTAATGTCATGTACATCAAGTCCTTTTTAATACTGATCATATATCATCGATCAAGTTGGTTTTCATGGTCGTACTCATTATTTAATTTAATCGGTTAGATGTTAAACTTTAGTCTTCAATTTAGAGAGTCGGATAGTATTATTAACCAGATTTGCAAATCTGGATATGCTAAATGAATGAATGAATGATGCATTTTAGAAAACATCAAAGCTATAACACGTATGTTTTCCAAATACATTCACTTTGTATTCCAGTACAGAACATTGCGATCAAATGTAGGATCGTATTGAACTCACCAATTATTACTTGTTAAGCAGAGATGGATAATGGCTAGAAGTGGAATCCGGTTTGATGCGCGTTTCGTCTTATTTGGGACTCGTCAGTTGGATGCACCTGCGTCCCAGAGATGATGTTCACTCCGCGACTCAAACCGTTCGCTTCAAACGCCATCGCGTTATCCACTTAGCTACTGAGTCCTGATAGCCACTTACTTGTGCAATGGGGCGAAGTTTAAATTCACATGGTATTGTTTTACTTATATCTTCCCATTGTTATTTAGGAATGCAATTGATCATCTTCATGTTGGCATATGTGCATCCTGTGAGGATTGCCTTACTATAGCATTAAGCAAAGATGGATAGTGGCTAGCAGTCGAATCCAGTTTGAAACGCGTTTCGTCCTATTTAGAGCTCATCAGCTAGATATACATGCAACTCAGAGTTGACGTTTAAATACCTTTTCGCACCCAATGTTTTTTATTCTCATGTTGGCTTTCTTTTCTCTCTCCTTCTCGCTCGCTTTCTACACTTTATAGAATTTCCAATAATAGTTCATTCCCAAAAACAGCAACAACAACAACAACAACAATCGTTTCAAAGTCAAAAATCTTTTATTATGACATAATACAGAAAAAAAGAAGAAAATTATAAACAAAATGTTCTTATCTATTGAATCTTCAAATTTATTGATTAAAAGAAAAAATAAAAGAAAAAAAGAAGAAAGAAAACTCTTTCGAAAAAACCGAATCAATAATAACATTTCTTTATCCAGATTATTTTCTACACTTGCTCAATAATTCTAATCATAATAACAATTATAATGAATAGTAATAATAATATTCATTCATTCATTTATTTATTTACTCTTATTTTATTCAATCTAATTTGCTCATTTATTTGTTCTTCTTTCTATTTTCTTCTCCTCCTTCTTCTTCTTGTTCTTGTTCTTCTTCCTCCTTCTCTTCTTCGTCTATAATATATCTCATTCTATTTTCTTTATTGACTCATTTGTTACGTCATATTTCAATGAAGTTAGTATATTATTACCGCTTTGAACATTAATAAAATCGGTTTATCTTACAACTTGTCATTACATTTTATAGTAATAATAATAACAATAACAATACCTATTACTATTACCATTACTATTATCAATATTATTATTATTACTAGTATTATTACATACAGTATACATATATATTACGATTAGGGACTTATTACTTTCAGGTATTTATTGAATAATTAATCTAATGAATGAATTCAACAGGCTTCTGCTCATTGTAAAATAGAGATTATGTAATCAACATAATGAATAATGAATATATTGTACAGATATTAAATTAATTAAGTGTTATATATAGTAACAGTAATAATAATAATAATAATAATAATTATTATTATTATTATTATTACTATTATTATGGAACATAAATTGTCTATACACATTCGATTGTTTATTATTTACAAAAGAGAATTGATTATTATTCGAATTGGAAAGTCGATACATTCAGTTGTTTAAATGAATGAAAAACAAGAATACATTTTATTGTTTGAATTTGATTTTCAAGGTCATTGACAATTCAATGCATATTATTGTTAAAAGTAAAATAAACATTACAGAATATGATTTGTTAGTGTCGTTTGTTCTCTTTTTGTTTCTTTCTCTGTTATTACGTAATTTTCAGTTATATGTGATGACTGTATGAGAATGAAAAGTGAAGAAGAAGAAGAAGATTTTGAATGAGTTCATGAATTGATTGATATTAGACCATGATTGAAAACCTAGAAGCATTGGATGGCTGTTTCGTTTTATTGTGGAACTCTTCCTTGACAGTGTGCATCCAATCTCTATAATCCTATGCTTGATAATTACAGTGTGTTCATTAGTGCCTAGCTTCATGAAGGAATTCTCGAATTTATAATGAGAAGCAGTGATCAGTGGAGCTAATCCGTGTCGGGTAGAAACAGGTATCTACCTCAGTACAATGAAAGTTGGTCACACGATTTCGTGGATTGATTGAAGTTAGACATTAACACCATTGAATGCCGACCGGCTTAGTGGTTTAGAGACCAAGGGTTCGTGCGCGAGACTGAAGGCTCTGTGTTCAAATTCGGCTTGCAGAATGGTGGATGAGCATTACTGAGGAGTCCCACAATAGGACGAAACGGTCGTCCAGTGCCTCCGGGTTTTCAATGGTGGTCTAACATCAATCAGTTCATGATCTCAATCAAAAACTTAGTAATCTCCAAAACCCTATAATGAAGAAGAAAATGTAATACTGATTATAGATAAAATATCTTTAATAAACTTGAATGATATGGGTTATTGACATTAAATAATTGTTTTATTTTAGTGTATAAGACTAATTCACAGTTATGGTCTTGAAATAGTGGAGAAGATTTGTAGTTCAGAAGGATGATTTTGATGGAGTTTTGTTCTCTGTGCTGAATGGTTTAGTTATGGAGCTTTCATCGTTCTTCTGAACGACATTATCAGTACAAACTTTATGAACTCCACGACCAAACTATCCATCTTAGAGAACAAAACTCGATCAAAATCAGTTATATTCTTCCATCTACAATCGTCTTCTTATTATATAAATTTTTTATCACTGATGGTCAAGTGTCTTCTAAGTTTTCACTTTATTTAATAATAAAAACATATTGTCTGGTTTCATTGATTCGGTTAACCGACTCAATTGTAATGTTCACAGATTGAAATCATGAGTCAGTTGAAGCTAGACCACCATTGAAAACCTGGAAGCACTGGACAGCCGTTTCGTCCTCGTATGGGACTCCTCAGCAGTGCGCATCCACGATCCCGTACCACGCAGGGCTCGAACCCAGGAGCGAGAGCACTTAACCCTTAGACCACTGAGCCGGCAAATGAGTTGTCGGGAAAACCTGAATCACTCCATATTTGATTATCTTACCAAGGAATTTCATATGACACTAGGTCAATAAACTTGATGAAGGCCAGTTTTCATGGGTTTTAGCATAAAGAATGTTGAATCTATGATATATGGGCAACTCCCAAACCATACTAAAGTGATCTTGAGAAATTGCAACCACTTATTAATGTCAAAATAGGTCTGTAAATTACTTTAAGAGTTCGGGATCAGAATTTAGAGTCAGGGATTAGAGTTAGAGTTATCATCACGAATTGACAATAGCTTTAATGTACAAACACTATCTAGCCATATGGATACATGAAATTCACGTACAAATTCAAGTGCCTCTGTTATAAATCTGAACGGTTCATCAACAGATTATAGTCCCACCTAAAGAAGTCATTCATTTTTATTATAAAAGGGATTCACATAGTCGTGACTCCATAGTTTAGTTACAATGATAATAAAATTATACATTTTAAAGAAGTATCATACTAGCTGTTTCATACGACTATGAATCAGAAAATTTCGTATCCGACACCCTCAGCATATACATAAATCTAATGTACCTACAATAAAAAATTGAAATTTGAACTAGTCTATAGTTGTCTCTAGGGGAATTAATAAACTTTGATATCATAAGTTAATCCAAGCAAACTGATACGTTATTTCCTATTTGGATACACAAACACTATTCCGGATAACCAACTCTTGGTTATATTGCATCAATATGTCAACTTGCCAGTTCTATTCTCTCGTCAAAAGGTTTCAGTCAACACTCAGAACTCAGGTGAATCAATGTTTGTCGTTTGATAGTTAAACTGTTAACACAAAAGAAGTATTCTCGTAATAAAATTAAGCTCTACAGTAAAAAAGATAGTCAACTTTACATGTGGGACTTAATGTGAGTTAGATCAGCTGACCTAATCAGTTGACTTTTGAATTTGTTGATCCACACTAGGAGTAATAATAATAATAGATTTATTCAGTACCATAAATCTTGTTATATCAAGGAATTATCAGTATCTTACTCACTTACTTACGTCTCCTACCTTTCGTGGAGAAGCACAGGCCGCCTTCCAGCATTCTCCATCAAACTCTGTCCTGGGCAATCCTTCACAGTTCTTTTCACTTGCCATTCATCCTTTTCATGTCTGCATCAAAGTCCTGGGGCAATGTATTCCTTGATCTTCCTCTTTTCCTTTTCCTTTCAAGATTCTAAGTTAGAGCTTGATTCGTGATGCAGTTTGATGATTTTTGTAATGTATCTCCTATCCACCTCAAGCATCTTTTCTTAATTTCCTCTTCATCTAGAAGTTGGTTTATTCTATCCTACGGTAGGCTGTTGCTGATTGTATCTGATCAACGAACATTGAATATCTTGCGTAGACAATTGTTAATAAATACTTGTACATTTTTTGATGATGATTATGATGGTTCTTCAAGTTTCAGCTCTCTACAATATTGCATTAAATTTCTCTTCAACATACATTCAAATGGTTGCAATGACTTGAAAGCTGGATTCTATAAATGTTTCTTTTAATACTTAGTATCTGCCTTCAATGGTGAAAATTTACTATCAGGTAAGGTGATATGATTTTGAATTCATACATTGCAACATACTCGTCTTTCTTTTGTTTAAGGGACATACAGAGAAGAGGATATCCTGGCAAGTACAATGATTCAGTTAAGGATTTTCTGTGTTTAGCTACACGACAGTAAAGAATCATAATTAGTTAGTTAAAATAAATCTAAGACTAGAAGGTTTATTAGAGTTTATGCTTATTCGGGGAATATGAGGCTCGAAAATTTAAGCAGGCTGCCGATGAAGAGCACTAATATAATATTGAGATAAAATTGTTAATAGCTGACATCATGAGTTAATTGAAGCTAGACCACCATGGGAAACCTGAAAGCACTGGACAGCCGTTTCATCCTACTGTGAGACTCCCCTCAGCAGTGCGCATTCACGATCCCGCCTCACAAGATTTGAACCCAAAATGTTAGTTGAACACTTTATTACTCTGTTATATAACCAGCATAACTGTAACATTCTCAGGAGAAAAAAACTATTTACACTTACTGTCAAAAATATAAGTTTTCGTGGCTAAACTTATTGACCATTGTATTATGATATGGATTAGAAGATCACAGATTCAACAAGTCTCTTTTAAAGTACTTTTTTACACAAAACTTAGACCAGTAGTCCAATATTACTTTTTCTTTGTTATTATTTGGTCTATTTATAGTTCATAAGAACTCAAATGAACAGGACCAATTTATTATCCAATACAAAATTACAGAATTCTTTGGTTACATGTGAAAACCATATATTAAATACTTCATCTGTAATTCTTCTATCAACTGTCCTTTACATTCTTCCCAACTCTTCTAATTCTCAACTCTCTTTTGTTTTCTTTTGTTCAATTTTCTTCTCAACCTTCTTCTGACAGATGTTCCACTTCTAATCAATATTACATACTACTTATGTCTATCGAAATCAGTAGCATACCTTATATATTCATAATGAAACTTCAAACTAGTCTTTTTCAATTATAGATATCTTTTTCAGAAGGGATTTTGTGGATATTATAGTGATTTTAATAGTTGAAATCATGATTCAGTTGAAGCTAGACCAACATGGAAAACCTGAAAACACTGGAAGGCCGTTTCATCCTACTGTGGGACTCCCCTTAACAGTGCGCATTCACGATCCCGTCTCACAAGATTTGAACCCATGACCGATCAGTCTCGTGCAAGTCCGCTTAATATATATCTTTATTCAAATAGCTTGTTTTAATACTCGCTTATCATTTACTATTATTATTATGAATGTTATCAAGTACGATACTTTATTCTTACCTCATAAAT